ACATATTCCTAACTTTGAAATAGGTACGTCGAAAAATAATGTTCTTATTTCATTTTCGTTATTGTTGAATATACCAGGCATGATTGATGAATGAGAATAATAATTGGAGAATTTTGCCTTCAGTTGATGCTTTTTATTATCAAAATCCCATATATAATTCAAAATGCCCTCAGCACCTATAAATATATAGAGTGGATTTCAAAATATGGTGTCATAAAGAATGCCAAAAGCTGTTTATTTGCTCATGGTTTTTCATCAAACTTCTATAGTATCGATTATTCAGTAAAGCAAAAAGTGTTTCATTTTGAAAACAATTTTTAGTTCAGATTGCTGTTGAAAATAATTAATTTTGGCACTTAAGACATTGAAGAAAACATATTTTTGACCTCCGTTATATGTACGATACAAGTCCCAAAATGGTCCAGTTCAGACCTGAAACGGACCAAAATCGGACGACCTCTGGTTTTGTAACATCGTATGTCCTATGGACGTCCTAAAGTTGTCCGGCGTACTAAAAATAGACGTCTTAGGGACGTCCCGAATATACGAAGAGTATGTCTTCAGAACGTCCATAAGACATACTTGTGCTATCTGGGTTATATTTTGTGATTATATATTTCAATGTTATATACATCTTGCTATACTATGAATTAATTATGAATTTCCAGATATTTTATAACTTAGCATGCCGAAAATATAATATGTCATTAAAATGCAACCAAAACGAGATAAATAAAGAAAATTATAATCAAAATTTTTACATACTTCACCTCTGAGTATTTCAAAATGAGTTTTTAAGCGTTCTTAATACCCGATTCATTTAACCCCAAAGTGGTGGGTAAATTGAATCAGATTTCCCAAAAATATTGAGGCCTTCTCCTTAATTTTCAGAATATTTTCAAATTGAGCCATTATTATGTTTTGTATATTTTTCGTCCCAATACTGTTTGACAAAACGATGAAGAACGCATTTTTTTATTCACTCAACCCTGTTTTGATGGTACTTAATGACCGTCACTGTATATCTCATAAAGTACGGAGACAGAGCCAAATGGGTTCTACCTACAGCATGAAAATAGTAAAGTCATTGGTTTGATGTCCTATTTAATAGTTTCAACGATTCCAGAGGCGGTGAGGTTTTTCTTGTGAAACAAGTATCCATGACTGTGCACGTAAAATGCCGCCTCAATAATAAAAGGATGGTAATTAAATATTTTTAGGATATTACTGTAAAGAGTACATTGGTTTTTTCATGATCGAAGGTCTTTCTTTATAGCAGTTTTATGACCTCGTATAGTCACAATCAAGTGAAACGTTGAAGTAATTATTGTTTTATTGGCGTTATCTTTTGTAGCTTGAGAAGATGGCTTTTCGAATTACACCAACGGCGAATTTCAGTCATTCGGAAACGTGCACTTTCAATGTTTTTCGTAATGGCATTGCGATTTATCTCTACAGTGTAGGTATCCAGGGTATCCTCCATGTTAAGGACGGTTAACTGTAATTGCTGATTTGAGTGCAAATTACGGCACAGGAAAGTGCAATTTTTTTAACATGTTGCTCAGGATAGTGATTGGCACAGGTGCCGTTCGATGAACTACAATGTTTCCACATTCCTTTGGGATATATTCCATTTCTTTATCAGATGACGGTCTAAATTTGCAGTCGGCTCTTGGACTATGGTTGAAGAAACTATTTGAGATAAAGAGGACAAAAGAGTCTAATTTTGGCCTATCAGAGTCAAAATAAATCGTCGATAGATCATTTTTGAATTAAGGATCTAATTGATGAGAGCGAGGATAAGAGTTTATGAAACAGTTCTTGTTTAGAATCGAATTTCTTATAAATTGAGAATATTGTATGGGTGTCTTTTTTGAATAAAAATGTACTTTTTGACGTAACTCGTGAACGCGATGATAAATTTCTGAATATTTTTCGACATCGTAATCAGCGGAAAATATACTACTACTACTTTGTATTCAGTGACTTTTCACCTCTAATGATAACCAAGTAAGCAATAGTGCCGACAACAGTTTAAAAACCATGTATAGCGATGTCAGAAATATAGAATTTGCAACTGTAATTAACAGTTGCCACTGTAAATCAGGAGGTGTTTTGAAAACGTTTTCTCTGCCTAATTTACAGATGCAACTCTGAATTAGGCAAGAGATTATTTTTTTATATTTCAATATTTAAAGTTACAACTGTAAATTAGAACGTGTTTTGGGAAAAAAAATCTGTCTAACTTACAGTTGCACCTGTAGTGAAGAAGAAAAAATTCTCTTGTTATAATTAGGAGACGATTAAAAAAAGTTTTCATCTTGTAACATGAAAATTTGCCTTTTCGTGTTCCATAGTGTGAATTCTGCATATAATATGTAGGGAGGAAGCTTTGTGAAGATGCACTACGTAACTCGATGATTTCTTTTCTAACTCTTGGGGTACTTTATATAATTCCATCTTGATAAATGTTTTTATTTTCAATGTACATGACTGGATGACTCTTAGGATATTCTCGTCCACTTCCTATCCAATCGTACACATTTGTCTGATGCCCATGATTACTGTAGTTTACATCTTAGTCTCTTGCCAGTACAAGACCGTTTGTTACGTTTAGTGGTAGTGGCGTGTAATGGTACAGGAATATTCACAAATTTGAATCGACTGAAGTCTCGACTATCGATATCGAGCGATATTTAATAATACTTCTTTCAAGTTGCATCCACTGCATCTGACATACTGCATCCTTGAATCATATTATTCGAGTGACTAGCTTGACGCTGGGCAGAGACAAAATTTGGTTTGAAACCCTACCTATATGCAATGAACTCAATATAAACACCCCTATATGCAAAATTCACACTATGGAAAACGAAAAGGCAAAATTTTCATGTAACAATCTGTCTTATTCACATGATCAATAGTTTTCGTTGCAAACTACAAAAATTCCTTGCCTACGCCTTTGATCGCTCAGGTGATTCTCAGAAGCTATTTCCTGATAATCATTTTCTGCATGTTGGACATTTCATGAATAAGTATATTGTCTACTAAGTAGATGATTTATTATCCGACATTTACAATGCAGTTTAATGCTTTGCAATGTGTTGCAGTTCAATGATGTTTGATAATGTATGAAAAGTAAGCGAGTCAGTACTGTATTTGTTACCATCGAAAAATCAGTTGATTAAGTACAAAAAATTCATTCATCATGATTGAGTTGAGTGTATAGTATATACACTACCTGCCAAACATATGACATTATTACGTCATAATATAGTTTAAGAGTACCTACTATCAAGGGCACAAACAAATTTTTGAATTTTCAAATAAACACCCTGTAACTCAGACAGTAGACACATTCTATCTAGGCGAGGGTGTTTCAAATTCCTCACCATTGGGATCTCGAAAACAATTATACGATGATCGTTGAATTGGGGCGAAGTTGCACTTTTACCCAATTAACAATATGTCGTTTGGAAAGTTCCAGAACTCCAAGTATGTCCGGAGATATCCGGAAAAATCTACATTTTGAAAATTGATTTTTAGCCACCATCATCAACTTTACTTTTTCCAATTTGCGCGGTATTGGATTTTTTCCCAATATTTGCGTCAAGTCGGTCAGTCGGCAACTTTTGTGATTCACCATTGAAGAATGCTAATATTCCTCCAACCTCGAGCTATTCGGAAATCAGGTCAGGAGATCCTCAGGGACCAGTGCTGGGCCCAATTTTGTTTTCGATATATATCTGAATGACTTGGCGTATGCGAATATAACAGGAAAATTAACATTATTTGCTGATGATTCTACCCTCCTATGGCATGGGAATAATGTAGAGAGCCTCAAAAAAGTTATATCCTAGGAATTAAAGGAAGTTGTAGCATGGGGCAATACTAATTCTCTGGGGTTTCAATGCAAAGAAAACTAACATCATAACATTGAATTTCGAGTATGAGAATTTCATAATTAGTAATATCCAAGTTGAAAATAAGGCTAGTACTAAATTCCGATAATAAACTGAGATTCGATATCATCACGTCACGTCAAAGAGAAAGATACTCGCATCCGGATGTTATGCTATATAAATTGTATCAAATGAGCTTGGCAGAGATATAGCAAGAACAACCTATTTTTCACTGATAGAATTGCACATCTGATATGGCATAACTTTCTGTGGATTTTGTTATCTTAATTTATTGAAGTCGGTATCCACTCAACAAAAAAGGGCAGTAAGATAACTATGCAAAGTTAGTGCAAGAGACCATTGTAGACTACTATTCATTCAACAAAAATTTCTGACACTAACATGCATTTTCATCCTTGAAAAGACATGTCTGATTCATACCAAACAGCTTCCTATAATGCAAATATTCAGACTCATCATAATATGCACCCGAAATGAGGACAAAATTTCTCTGCCGAAACCTAAAACATCTCTCACGAAAAATCCAGATATACATATATGAAAGCAAAAAAAATGTATAACCAATTGCCAGAACATTTGAAAAAAGCAAAAAACCCAAAATATTCAGGAAGGGTATTAAAGACTTCCTAATTCCAAAGGCATATTATAAGCTGCAGGAATTTTATGATGACAAATTTTAGATCAGGAATAATCCATATGATATTATATAAGGAGTACTTATATATCCATTCAGTTATATTGTTAGCTATATTATGAATGTATGTATCTGTATTTGTTTTGGTTTATTAATTGTTTTTGTACGTCATATAGGAATTTTAATTGATAACTTCCTATACAATACATTATGTATTGATATATCTATGTTATTTTGTACTATACTGTGATAAATATTCTTTCTTTTCTGACGAAATGGATCATTCCACCACATATACCTATCATTCAAGCTTCGTCAATAGGAAAAATATTCTTGGACAATGAAGTACAGATTGATTTATTAAACCAACGATAGTTCACTGGGGTGACATTGCTCTAAACGTGATGGCCCATGTATTGATGTTTGCTGGGAAAGGTACTCACCATTATCCAGAATCGTTGCCTTGACATTCCCAACAACCGTATTCTTCCTGACATTTTCGCTCACAGAATACGTATACCGGGGATGGTCGAAAATCGGAGGCCTCTGCGCAGAATCAATCACACTGATGAAAACTTCGGCATCCTTCAAAGACTTCAAGTTCCCACCGTCGACAGCGCTTATATTCAACCTATAATAGGGCTGCCCTCTAGCGGACAGCAGGTTAGGTCGGCTGATGAAGATTTCCCCAGTAGATTTGTCGATTCTGAAGAGTCCCCCCTCATTTCCCGCCACTATTTTGAAGGTAACAGCGCCGAATTTGCCCGAGTCCGCGTCAGTGGCTGCCACCACAACTACCGGGGTGGTGGCTGATGATGAGGCGCCGTTCTCGCGTAGCGAAACTTTGTATTCGGAGGGATAAAACAATGGCCGGTTGTCGTTCACGTCGGTGATTTGGATTTTCATCATTGCTGTGGTGCTCAGTCCACCTGAAAGTAATATTTTATTCAGATATATGACGGGTAAATAGTGGTTTGATTACATTTTCATCATCAAATTCGCGTTTTTCAGAAAAAATACGTAGGTAACAAAAAATATTTCCGAAAAAAAACCATCGCATGATAAATGTAAAATAACCCAATTAATCATGATTCAATCATACAGGGCGCGGAAATAAGTTCAGAATTTTGACACCATGAGAGCTTATACAGGAGGGTTAGAAATTAAAACAATTACTACTTTCAACTTCAACATCCAGTATTTCAAAAATGGAGCAAGTTAGGACACATGTTTTTATGAACTTTATTTGCTTGAATATCACAAGGAATAGATACACCCTGTATAGGTATGTTTATGGGTTATTTGTTTGTAACGAACTGTTCGAACGTGATTTTGACATTTTTCAACGCTTTTTTTCGATTTGAAATTTGGCAGGTGTACATAATGCTGGGGACGATGCAACATGAAATCTTCGTTAGACATAAAACAAAATGGCGGGTCCAAAATGGCGGAAAAGTTTTGTAATTATTATTCGATTTCAGAATTGGTATCTGGAGGTTTTCGTGGTCGTAGATCATGATTGTCTCGTTAAAATGTGAATATTCAAGATGGAGGATGCAATATGGACGGGGAATTCCGTAAATATGACCCGATTTTATTCAAAATTAGCATCTGGAGATTTATGGAGTCCGTGATTATGATTCTTTCGTCAAAATTGAAGAATTCAAGATGACAGATCCAATATGGCAGACGAATTCTGTAATTTTGGTCCAATTCTATTCAAAATCAGTATCTCGGGGTTCTCGGAATTATAATTCATTCGTTAAAATCGGGAATTCGAGATGGCGGAACCAATATGACGGACAAGGTTTGTAATTAGGATCCAATCCAATTCAAAATTGGTATCTGGGGATATTCGGAGTCAGACACCATGATTTTCATCTCGAAATTGGAAGATGGCGGATCCAATATGGCGAAAGTGTTTTGTAATAATGATCCGATTCTATTCGAAATTTGTAACTGAGGGTTCTCGGGGTCGTAAATTATGATTCTTTCGTCAAAATTGAGAAATTCAAGATGACGGATCCAATATGGCGGATGAGTTTTGTAAATAGGATCCAATTTTATTCATAATCTATATCTAGGGGTTTTCGTGGTCGGAGATTATGATTCTTTCGTCCCCATTGAGTACTCACAAATAATTTGAAAAAAAAAAACTGAAAAACCCGTTTTTTTAGTTATCCGAACTAATAATAGGAAAAAAATAGTTTGAAAAACTTAGGAATCACGCTCTTATAGATAGCCAAACTGAAAAGAAGTTAAAAAAAAATATAGAAGTGTGTTTATAAATATACTATAACTTACTGTTATCATTAGAACTATGGTTCATTATTAAATCTTGTTATATTCTGAACATGATTGGAAATAAAAATAAAAATAAAACTGGAAACAGGTTCACAATGAAGTATGCCCATGCTCAACCCTAGGGTTTTATAGGCACCTCAATGTTTATTTGTTGTTAGTGTACATTATTTTTGTGTTGAATTATGTTATTATATTATTTGTTGTTATTATCACTTAGACAAATAAATATTATTATTATATTATTATTATTATTATGAATATACAACAAACTGAATATGGGGGTGCTTATATTTCCTATGTTGTGTATTTATCACCACACTTTTATAATTTTCTGCTTCCTCTCAGTTTGTTTATCTATAAAAGCGTATTTCTTCCATTAATTTTTTTGACAACTTTTTTTCAGTTTGACTATCTATAAAAGCGTGGTACTTCAGTTTTCGAAACTACTACTGATTTTGACAAATCACCTCAGCAATGTATTAATTTTAGTAGATTTTACTTTCTCTTGGGCACCCAACTGTAGATTGAATCGGACATTTTCTTTTGGCGTTTTACTGATAAAAAAGCAAAACTATGGAAATGTGCCTTGAAACGAACATAACTCAATCCCATTCAAGAACCTACCGATTTCCTCCTCTTATTATAGAGCTGAGACTTGAAGTTTCGCTCATCCTCTTCGATATTAATAGATACACTAATAAAACGGAATGTGTTCATAAATATTAATCACAAATGATAACACTACCATGTCCTTAAATCAAAACCGAAACTAGTTTTCCATCATTACCTAATTTTTATTCATTTATGTTAATGTTTTTATTTCAACAGAGAGTCCCCAACAAGAGAGCGAAATTTATGGCCATTCAGTATATAAATAATCCGCCGTTTCCCAAATCACACATAAATCACGAATCCGTGCGCGGATTTTACTAAGAGAAAACTCGGACGATGTAAAATATATATCCATTCTCTGGTGGTACCGTAATGGTACTAGAGAGCAATGTGCAGTTACCGGAGTTCAGATTTTTGCACCCAGTTGAATTCTTTTGAGTTACTAACATTCGTAGACATATCATTATTTTATAGGAATTCGTTCATTGAAAATGAAGAATGTAATACTAAAGAATAAAACACATTTGCTAGTGAAAAAATTAAACTCTACTGTTGGGAATAAAATTTTATTACGACTTGGTAAGTGCTTCGTTAACTATACCTTGGAAATTGACAATCACCAAAATATGAAGATTTAGCCCAGGGTGTTCAAGGACAAATTTCATATTAATTTCCTCCTTACCTTTGGTCAAGCATTTACCTTGAAAATATGTTTTTCTCTAGCGTTGTTAGTGATTGTCATAATCGTTTACTGCCCTTATCATCACTTATTAATTCCAATTGATAGAAATGTTAAAAGTGAAACACAAACTCCTTAAAGAGCCAATGACGCAAAAACTATTAGTTAGTCACTTAGGAAAAGAGCTAATTTCTTATGTAAAATTGAGCGGGCTTTCAGATTGTTGACTTATTCCAATCATCATTCATTGGACAAAGAAGAAGTGATGTATACCTAATTTGCCGAAGTAATAGAGTCAAAACTCACGAAGTTGCTAAGAAAATTCAAGATGGAATCTTTTCCTCAAACACCTTGTATATCTCCTGAACCTGAACCTGAACATTCCTATTAGTCGTGTTATGCTGCATCTCCATTTATGTTGGTCTTCACTATCTGTAGCTCAAATATTGGTCATTCTAAATGAATCACCCTGTATATAAACATCTTCAGGGGAATATTAAAATTATTTAAAAGTTTTATAATGAACATCATGTGTTCTTCACATAAAACAATCGTGATATTTGATTTATATAGAGCTTTGATAATTATTCGTTAAAGTGTCAATGAGTTTTATCCGGTGACGACCGAAGATAACCATGTTATGGCACTCTTTGCTCATCATTAATTCTCATTCGTCAATAGGGTTTCATGATATGGACACATTGTAACAAATTTAAACAGTCTGCACCATACCACAAGCTCAGCTTAGAATGGTGAATGGCACAGGACTGTTGACAATGCATCTCAGAACCTTATTGACAACTACTAAACTACTATACTTGGTACGATACATTGTAAATATCCTCTATATCTGAATAAATCTATCTATCTATCTATCTATCTATTTGCTGAGGTCCATCATGCACTCCTCTTATAACTTTATCTTGAAGAATTGCCTATAGTCCAAGAGCCAGCAACGGGTGAGGTTACTGTATAGAGCATAGGGCTATATTTTTCACAATGAGTCCCTTATAATGAAGGAACGAGGGAACGGGTAGTCTGGCAGTCAGCCAGAGGTGGCTTTAGCGCTGGTTGATTTTTTCAGGGCAAAAAAAAACAAAATTACGTCATTAGCATCAGTCTGGGTCGTTGAAATTTTGGAGTTGATGATGTATCTACCAAGTGTGACTAAAAATTGCCAGACTAGTGGGCGTGTGTAAAGTGAATGCCAAATGGGGTTAATGTGGCCTACAAAACTGTTATATTCACAGTGAAATCATCAGGCGGAATTTGATTCAGTATCTCGAAATACACCCACAAAAATTCGAACCGTCAATGCCGGATCGAAATTAAGGTGAAAACATCTTGCCAGATCAGCAACATTATTTCTAATAACTTCGTAGATATAGAAGGGGTCCAAAAGGTGAATTTTCAGAAACGCTTTGTATCTCATAGACGGAAACAGTGAGAAAGTTGGACAGGAACGTGTAATTTTTCCACAGTAGATGTAGAGTATCACTACTGATGAATATATCGAGCATAGCTGATATTGTGGACTTTGTGGGGATGGTGGTACAGTCGTATTCAATAAAAAAGCGTACAAGTATTAAAAAGAGAGGATTTCGGGATCCTAGTTCTAGTTGTGTAAAACTCAGCCAATGCTTTGTGTTTTTGAGAACCTATGACAACTTTACTGTCAACATTTGGTGAGCAATCATTCCCGATGGCCCGTTTTATGCAGAATTGGATGGAGTTAATTCATCTCTGTAATATACTTGTATGCTTTTTTTTAATGCGACTGTACCAGACATTGTAATATTAGGTAATCTGAGATAGGCTTTTCTTAATGAAATACATGCTCGAGTTTAGGTGGTGTTGAATTCAACCAGTATGTTTGTTTCCCAGATTGAAATTGATGCAAGAACTTAATTGACCACGTTAACCTGTCTTCGTCCTGAGATGATGGTTTAGACATTCTGGAAGGGAACGAAGTATCCATCAGCAAATCTGTGGATAGTTCAAAAGAGATTCATTCCAATTCCACTATAGCTTATCACACTTTGTAAACATCATCTACTCTTTCAGAGGGGTACATATCAATTTCTCAGCAGGCCAACAACGATGTGATCTAATTCCAAAAATATTTCGCATGATCTAATAAATGTCTTAAGTTGAATTTTTTTTCCACACTCAAATGATTTTTGGTGATTGCTAGATGGATTTTCCTCTTCTTCGTATACTTTGGGATAAAATTTATGAATGCTCTTTAACACCATGCATGATAATGAGTTTTTTACATGAATATTGACGAATGAGTCATACTTAATTCTATAAAGTCATATAGAGTTGTGCATACGTTTTGGAACTCAAAATTCTTACGTTCAATTCAAGTGTTTTATCTTGAAAAGCAATAATGACTAATATACTTGACACTTCGTTAGTGAATGTGACATCAATATGATATTGATAAGAATTTCGATAAATTTTTCAAGTTGGTACTGTGGCAGGCTGGAAACATAAGCCATTAACTATTTATGAAGTGCAAAGAGAACAAAAAGAAGTCGAAATCACGATGTCATTCGTTACAATCGATACTCACGATAACGTGAATCCCTGTGTTTCAACGCCCGCCTGTTTTTCTTATTTTGTACGAGGGCTACGAGGTGATCTAGAATTAACTAGTTCTCGGTTAACTAATGATTTATGTGAACTTGAAGGCTGTTCGTGGTCATGAGCAGAAATTGAACTCCAACAAGATGAAAACGCTTAATGCAGTCGTCACGGTTCAAAATTAAAACAAGTCGACTTGTTTAATTTATATACCATACATTTTTTGTTTGATTGTGAACGTTAGCGTCTGACTTTGTCTATACATATACGGAACATAGATACACAATACCAGTGAGACAGTTATACTAGCTCATTCCACCGACATAACCTACTACATAGACCACTTTATCCACAACAGAAAATAGCCGAGAAAACGTCTCCAGTAGAAAATGTCTTTCCACTACACTTTTGTCCCTTTCCACCATGCAAACATATCAGCTACAAACTCGGCTATAAAGCTATTACGTTTCATGCAAAAAAATTTCTTGTTCAGTTGGTTACATCATATGAAACATATAATATACATACATGATGCTTCAAATTTCATGAAAAAAAAATTGTTCAGATAAATTATGTATGTATGAAGAATGGAACAAACTCGTATGTTTTACTTATGTCTAGATGCTATCCAAGATTATTTCTAATTCACCAATATAACAGTGCAACGTTCTGCTCTGTATGAGTTGGTACTTGATAGTTGATCATTATGTTATAAAATTATGGAAGATGATATCTTGAGGTTAGAAGACAACATCAGGTTAGTTTTATATGAAGGTTATGTTATTATTCGCATATTTGTCCTACATATATTTTGGTTGGTTTGTTTTTAGTGATATTGAAATATCTCAAAAATATGTCCACCAGTTGAGTAGAAGACAGAGGTGGAATCGCCGAAATCACAAATGAAAATGATTCAACCAAATTATAAAATGTCTCTACATGATCTATCTCTACATGAACACACTGCTATATATAATGTGCATTCATCTATGTGAGTACCACCAGCCGCTCCAAAACAGATCAATCTGGAGAAGATGTTCAAATAGATGTTGGATTTAATGGTGTTTTCATTTGCAATCTTTAGGAACAATTTGAAAGGGTTAGAAAATCCAAAAGTATAAAAAATGGAAAAATTCTTTGACAGAAGACTTTTGTGTCTTCGGACATTCCATTCCATTACACTTTCGAGTGCATTTCCCAAAGTAGGTTTCAACGTCTTAAGTAGAACTCTAAAACCCAACTGAAAACACGTAGGAGTACCCGAGGGAGTACCTACATATCAATAGTGTGATCGTAGTTCCACCCAGGCATTATAAACCATGTTGGTGTGTCGAAAGTGTTACCAGAAATGATATAGAATGTGCAGTGAATTCCCCAAAAGAGAATTTTACAGGTGGAGAACGCAACGTAGGATCATTTGGAAAACTCGGTTCCTTGAAAAATTGGTTGTGTTCTATCGATCTGGAATATTCTCCTACAAACGAGTAGGTAAATACAACTAACCTAAGTATATACAGGGTTATCCAAATTGAGTGCGTCCACCATAGGTAACTTTGTTATAATTGAATATACAACATTGTTCAAATTATCAACGCTCTTTATGATGGAAGAATAAAAATAAACATTTGAGTATCGTGTTCTCTGCAACTAATGAGAAATGTTCTTCTATATAGTCAGAAATACCTATACACCGATAGTTTGATAATGTGAACAATTTTGTTTCTTCAATAATACCAAAGTTACCAATATGGCTGCCGACAATGAATTTCCTGTGGATTTTTCGAAATGAACAAGTACAGTATTTTGGGTTCATCTCACATATAATATGAGTCTGTTACATTCATCAAAGTATCATTATAAAAATAAAATTGGTACTCACAATGTATCTGATACAAGTATGCAATGTTACTTCAAAAACATATGTAAGAGATATAAAGGATATATTCAGGGATGCGGAAATTTGACGTTACATGCAATATACATAAACTGTACAGTGTCTGCAACATCGGATGATAACAGAAATATGTGGTTGTTATGTATCAGAAAAGTATAGAAAAGTATTTGTGATTGCTGGGTAGGTCATCACGCATATGTCAAAGCATTGGGAAACGTGAAAAGATGTCAGAATGACAGAAAGCATTGAAAAAGATAAACACTGTTATGAAAACGTCACGACAACATCACGCATGTACTGAAACGTTGAAGAGAATGGAGGAAACGTGAATAAAACGCAAAGAAAATGTTACGCGAACGTCACGAAAGTGTCACGTCAACACATTCTTCATAAAAAAATCGAATTTTTCAGTTGATTCCTGAATTACATAATATGATAATTTCGAAGTGAATATTGAACCCGATTGAAACATTCACTGAGAAAAACTGGTTGATTAAAACGTCTAGTTGGTATTTTTTTAGTACCGATAATTAAAAATATTTGGAATTTTATTAACAATGACAACGTATCCTTATTTCCTACAAATGACTTTTCTATTTTTCGCCAATTATTTGTCATCAATAAAAATACTATTTGTGACAGAATTATCACAGTGTTGTCTATTCAGTCAATTAAAATTTCATATTGGGGTTAATAAACCTCATTCTGGGGTTACTAACAACAGCTGACTATTTGCCACAACTGATGACACATTTATCGTAAAAGGTTTATTATTATTCATAGCAGAAATTGTTTAGCCATAACTAATAATTTTAGTTGTACTGCGTCGTTCGGGACCACCTCGCGTCTCTTCGGGACCCACCGGCAAAAATTGCATCTTGCATCTGTTTGTCTTTCTGTTTCATCATTTGAACTTGTATCTTAATAGTGGGTAGATCGCACGGTCGTCGAGCTTAGACAAAATAAATAAAATAATTGTCTAGTGTAGCCGGGAGCGTCGTGTTCTTGCTGGTTCACTGCTCTGTGTGTTTTCAAATCACTGTTTTGTGTTTTTTTGCACTTTGCGCTGAGCCATTTGGCATTTGGTTGGCAAAATAATAATTCGCAGTTTACCATCGTTATCTGTGCGTCACTAGTTATAAGGTTTAGGTACCTATTCACAATTCAGTTCAGTTTACGACGAGCGACGGTGAGAAACGTCCATCCGACGTCACGTGTACAAGGTGTATATTTATAATTCCCTCTCTTTTTGCTGAGCTGTGGCCTGTGGCACTTACGGTGTGTGGTGTATTCCTGTTCACGATTCCATTGGAAATTGGAAGGAAAATGGCATACAAACTGTTATTATTAGATTGGGGCCTTGATTTCAATTGATATAAAACTATTAAGTTACCAGAATAACTAAATTATATTTCAAACGTTACTAAATCACTTTCAATAGTAACTAGATTCCATTTCAGTCACAATTAAATATTTAATTTGCAACAACACACTCACTATTTACGTCAGAAGAAATGAGTGATTGCCCCAACTGGGATAATTTGTTGTGATAACAAACATATATTGAAACAGTACTAACAATCTAATTATCATAACTATGTATCTTGATTGTGGCAAATAGAACTTGGTATTATTCCTTAAAAAGGCTTATTAGTTACCACAACAACGTCGTAGATGACTCAACTAAACTTTTCATTCGAGGCAAATAGGCGTTTTCAGAAAAACAGAATTAGTTATGGCAACATCTAATGCTTGCTGTCCCCTATCGTACTGAAAAATTTTTCTGTAGTTACTAATTTTTTAGTAATGGCTACAAATTTTTTCCCTCAGTGTAGAATTCCTGATAGATGACGACACTAAGGCTCCTTTGTTGCTCGTTTCTCGACAGCCCTGAAATAGTAGCAGTTCAGTTGATTTTTAATGTCTCACTACAGTGAATCTCCTCAGACACTGAATACTAATTTTCAGAACATCAGAGTCGTGTTATTTCAACACCCAGATGCAGACAAGAAAGCACTGCTTCTCAGCCCTATAACACTCTAGTGTTTTCACTTCAGAAAAATATCCGAAAAATGTTTCGCATATCATAATATTTTCATTAAAAATAAAAACGTAACCAGATGCATCAAAAGAGTCACCAAATGGTTGCATCGTACACCATTTTGGTGTTGAATAACACAAAATAAACAATAGATAACTCACTACCTTCTCCATTTTTTTAACTCCTAACACTCACCTCTATCTGTGGCCGTAACTGGAAACTCGTAGACATTCCTCGTTTCGTAATCTAATGGCGAGCTTATACAGATTTCTCCAGTATCTGACCTGACCTTGAACTCCTTGATCTTTCCAGATCCATGACCCAAGGTATAATTCACCATGGCATTGACCCCACAATCTGGATCGGTTGCAGAAACCTGAAAAATAATGAAAGTTTCAAACACAATATCCAGGAATAATCTTTGTTCCTATATAGGTATATTCAAACAAAAAGAATATAGGATATTATTGATATGTTTCCGTAACACCGAATGATTTATATAAGGGTGTGAAGAACAAATTATGCATGAGCTTACAATCTGAGAAAGGCCCTGCAAAGTTTCAGTTAGGCAATAGTAGATTCATGACATGTATTCGAACAGAAATATGAAAACATCGGCAGAATTAATACACATCAAAATCAAAACTTCAATGTTTATAATGACTTTATCGTTATGAAAGGAGAGTACGATATTAACTTAAAATGGCAATTCCACCAGTGAAGAAGTAGAATTAGGGATGGATCAACCGCAGTCACTGGACCCTGTCGTACGCCTCTGGTAGCAGGCAGAAACGTTAATTCTACATAATTTAGTAGGATGTATGTTATTTACACTTCTTGTTGAATATGACAATGATACGTCAATTACTTTCAAATTGCTAGGCACAAACAATTTCCAAATATTTGAACAAAACACCCTGTTACTCAGAGAGGAGACAGTTTTATCTAGGTGATTTTGGTTGGATCACCATATTTTGATATCAGGATTTTATATAGTTGAAATATTTTCAATTAGTGATGAAACAACCTGTACAATTTCGAATTTACAGGTGTGTATTCGTGAATACGTTGACATATTTCATGATAGGATCGAACTCCAGAATAATTCTGAAAGCGGTACAGTGACTTCGTTGACAGCTGATCATGTGTACTGTGAATCAACTTGTAGCTGTCGCTGAAGACGTTCTACAACTACAAATTTTCCAGTTGTATTTCAGGAACCTTCAATTGTATTTCAGAATAGTCAATTCAATTTCAGAAGTCGTCAATTGTATTTCAGGAAGCGTCAATTGTATTTCAGAAAGTGTAATATGAAATTCAATTGATATTTTCTGAAACAGCTGAGCGTCAATCTGACAGGTAGAGTTCGGTGGAGACATCTAACTGAATAATTCTTGACTTTCTCATCCAGATCACCCTATATATAAAAGAAATCCTTACTGTACAAACAAACGCAGGCTGAAGATAAAGGTGATCTCTAAATTTCTCACTAAGAATCTTCACCAATTGAAGATGAATCGGTTTGCAATTCCCCATGTTTCAGTTGAAATTCGATATAGCGTTTGCCTGAGAACATTGTACAGGCCCAAACGAATGAATTCTTGCTATAATTTGGTGTCTTGCTCATTCGAATAATATATCAAAGTCCTGGCCAACCGAGTTTGGGAAGTGTTTCTTCCGACATGACTGATTATAGCTGCGGTGTCAAGTGGGAGGTTGATAAGTAGACCAGAGATGGATGTGAATAGTTTTATCCACATCAATCTCCACAATCCTTAGTATCCGTTCTGGACCTATTGTGAGCCCTGAGGTTATGAAAGTTACCTACTTCAAGGTCCGAAATTCGAGGCATCCTGACTGACCTTTCAAAAAACACAATACATCATTTCACAGCCACCTCGAGATTCATCTAACAACTCTTCATCATTATTGGAATCATTTCCCTACGAAAGTCTTCCTGAGAACAATAATAACCTCTAAAAGTTTAAATAAATCTCCGAAACCAATCTTATATACCTATTCGCTCCAGATATGCGATGTTTCACGACCATAATAGGGATTCATTGCCAAGCGATCCGGAAGATGAAAATGAATTAACGGAAAGTAATTTCTAAGAATGTTTTATCTATAGTACCTTCCCTAGATAATTAATTTTGAATAATTTACAGGTACACGGAAAGAAATCATCTGGTTAGTAAAGGCACAGCCAGATATCTTGTCACGTGGAACATTTTTTATGGTTACAAAAACCTGAATGCAAATAGTGGAAGAAGCTTTCCATAAGATTTTCCATAAGAATCAAAAGCCTAGTAGCAATCGGTATATAAATATATCAGTTCGCTTAGCATGATCTAGAACGGACGTCAAGTAATCAACTGAATTGTATAAACTGTGAGGAATCTCAATTTATAACACTTGGAAGAATTGTGCAGGATTAGGTGTATATAAGAGTAGCCATGATGGCTAAATTTCGCTCTGCCATATGTCGGCTTCAAATGGTTAGAGAATCTTTCGAATCGGTCCAGTACTTTTGGAGCCTATTCAATACATACAAAGAATCATATATTTATTTCATCTTCATAATGTTAGAATAGTTAATATGAATGAAACATATAGGACTACCGTTTCCTTCCAGATGACACTCGCTGTAGTAGATCCAAGATTCTGAAACAGTCTACTTTTCGAATGCTCGAATTAGAATCTGAACTTCCTAAAATGATGAACCAAACTATAATTTGGACATAGTTTCGCAGGAAGGAACAAGAAACCAAGCGACCATGATCATCGAAATCGAGTTATATACATGAATGGTTGCCCAAATATCCATACTACACTTAGCAAAAAAGAACCAACTAAATTTCATATATATAGGCAATTTTATTAGTAGTAAGAACCATCGCAAATCGTAAGAATCACCCCAACTGTTATACAGAAAGGAACCATAGGACATGGTTCCTTTTTGTAAATATATGTTTGATCGTTTGGATTAGGATGGTTTCTGAATATTTCGTTAAACGCAAAAAGAGATTCATCTGTTGACTACTACAAAAAAATGAGTGTTTGCCGCAAGAAAAAACCTCTGATAGTGTCTCCCATGGGAAAGGACAATTTTTTTGAAATTGCCGAAAATATCGAGCAGCAGATTAAAAATCGCAAAAAAGGTGTCAATAGAGAAGATATTATAGTTGATAGTTGGAAACGAGTGAAATAACATTGATCAAACACAAGCCTCACTCAATATTCATCAAACCCAATTTGAACGATGAATCAGTGGTGGTTGAAGTAGATATTTCTAAAAAGTCCCGTGGTAGACCCCAGCAAAATGGAATGAAAAAAAGTAATTTGAATGCACTGTGGCCAACAGGAAAAGGGATTGCGGGAGAAAAAGCCAGTGACATAAAGTCGATATTGCATACCAAAAGACCATTTCATTCGACACTGACAGACACATTGACAGATTCTTGAAAGCATTGCACTCTGAACTTGATATTGTGAACAATTTTGTTCTGAAATAAATTATTACGTTCATCTGCTATTTCAGTTCTGGTTCACATTTGAAATTTCGGAAATTTCGAATTGCAAAATGGAATTCAATTTCAATTCAATTCAATTTATTCAATTTCTTTCAGTATTCCATGTACAAATGTGTGCATCTTTAAATTAATAATAATAAATTATATTCATTTTATGTACTATTTGTTATTTGAAAATTTTCGGTTACTGAGTGCCCGTGAGTGCCCTACAAAACATCGTCACGTTAGACTTGAAGTCTGTCTTGTGATCTCTGTTATGTATGACACCCAAAGCATACAGTGGATTATTTTGATGTGGCAAGTAATAAATGTTCACTAATATTTCATGGTATTCATATTAAGGAAGGAAGGAAGATTGGACGAAAGTCCCAGAACTGGTTGATCATAAATTCTTAATTAATTATATAATTGTGATTATTAGAAAAATTTGTCGGGATGGCTCAATATATATTTCTCTGTTTCCTTTTTGAAAATATTAAAGTTTTTCATTTCTTTAAGATTTTTTGGGAGAGTATTGTAGATTTTTGGCCCGTAGTGAAAGAATTAATTTTGTGTAACAGTTTTTTTAAAAAATTCGACTTTAATATTCGAGTTTGTTACTGATCGAGTTTCTCGTTAGTGTTGTAGTGTGAATTTGTGTTGATCTCGATTGATTCTTTTTAGGCATTGATAAGCACAGATTGATTGGATATTCAATATCTTGAATTCTTGGTATAATTGATTTGTAGAGAAAAGTCTAGGTTTTCTAAAAATAATTTTCAATAATAAATTTTGTGCAGTCTGCAATGGATTGATTGGTCCCCAAGCCGGAATGCAATAAAGTATTAGTGATTCTGCAAGTGAGGTATATAGAATGGCTAGATTTATTTTCGATAATATGTCACGTAATTCAAAAAATTTGTGCATGAGAACTCGGAGTCGTTTTGTGACGTAATAGATATGATCGGTCCATTTCAAATGCTGATCTAGGAAGACTCCGAGGTATTTTATACAACTAGATTTTTCTATAGAATGGCATTTACAATTATCTGTAATATCACAAGAATTAGTATGCAGTTTGAGTTTGAGGTCTTCTGGTTGGTCTCGAACCGTAGGAGAAAATGTTATGAACCTTGTTTTTTTAACGTTTAGGGAAAACATGTTACTATTTAGCCATGTATGAATTTTTTTTAAGTCTCTTTCTGCAGTTTGTTTTATTTCTTTCCACGTTGATCCGGTAAATATTATAGCAGTGTCATCTGCATAGCATATTACATGACCTTGCATACCGTTTATTTTTGTTATAATATTAATGTACACCAGGAACAGTATCGGACCCAATACTGTCCCTTGTGGTACTCCTGTTTGCACTTCTTCATCATGACTTATTTTATCCCCAATCTTAACCCGTTGTATTCTTCTTGTTAGGTAGTTCTTCAATAATTCTAATGCGATACCTCTAACACCATAATTGTATAGTTTATTCAGTAATAGTTCGTGATTAACGGTATCGAAAGCCTTTGCCAGGTCTAAGAACCAAAGCATATTTTTCAACATAAATCGGTGCATGATGATATTCAATTAAAAATATCATTTTCATAATATTGATATCAGGTGAGTGACTTGAAAGACAGGCAACTCTGAGATTGAGACCACAACAGCTCCAGAGATAAATATTTGCCTTTCCAGAACATCAGCCCAACCCTGAATAAATGAATGGATAGTGAGCATCAATGGTTCGGAATAATTACCTCTGTATCGTTACATCAGGAGTATTGATAATAGTGACCAGTCTATCGACAGAGGTTATAATGAAAGGATTATGCGGCATAGCAGACCCACGCTGTTTTGACTATCAGCGCCATCTCGCGGGTCGAAGACCTTCTTACTTTCAGACTTCGCGATCAGTGTGT